TCAGGCCGCATAGATTATTACAATGGTTATGAGTTTCAAATAATTATAATAAATAATAATAATGTCGTAATGATGACAATAAACTGTTTTCATTTCTTTTTGATTGTCCGTGATTCGCAAAACCAGAGTATAATGCACCAAAAAGATAAGAAAGATATATAAAGAACAGTACAATGGGTCTGTGTGCCGGCCGCCAGCCTTCAAAACGTTCTTCCAAAGTCACTAGATATTGCAAGAAACATCCGTGACGAACTGGAGTCATCGAGTGGGGAAAGCCAAAGAGGCCCCATAAGGCCTTTCGTCACAAAAATTCTAAGTGCGATTTTCAAAACCAGAGCTAGAATAGTAAAAATATAGTCCTAAAAATTTGGATTTTCTCAGATTTGAGGCTAAACCTGTATTCCCAGAAGGCTCAAACTCTAGGTCTTGTGGGAATACAAGCTTAGCCTCAAATCGGAGAAGATTCAATTCTTTAAAAACAGCTACTGTTATGTCACCATTTTTTCGTGCTTCTTTTGTTCTCAAAGCAAGTGAGTCTGTTCTTTACTACCAGCGGTGGCTCGCTTTGAACATGGAAAACGACAAAGRTTCTCTCTTATTTCTGAAATTATTTAAAATGTAAATTAAATCTCTGGAAAAAAACATAGAAGAAAATTTGAAAATTGTCACCTTTCTGATCGGTATAACTGTTGGTGAACACGTTGTACAAACAATGTTCAAAAGGATCGGATTTCGTACATCAGTTACATATTTCTTGTGTAAAGGCAGATCTAAAGAAATGACTGCACACAAGGAGCTACACTGAAAGACGTAGTGTACCAAAATCCAAAATACAACAGGATATTGCAAATATAATACAAAAAAAAATTAAGAATTAAATTTAACGATTCACTCACGCGGAAAAAAACTGGAAAACTCTAAAAATGATTCGAGTCTATTGGTCTATATTGGCCATGATTGATGAAAGCAANGTGGTATTTATGTTGCACAGTTTTAGTGTTTGTAGAACGCACTTAATCCGTGCAACTGTACAAACTAAATAGTGCTATTTAGTTGTTGAATTGATAGAAATGGAGCATTCAATACCGTCTTGCTTCAGGTCCACTTTTAGTACAAATAAATAATACTTAGATTTTGAATAGTTGCACGGATTAAGTGCGTTCACTCTACTCTACTCCATTATGTTTAGGGGCATATTATTTCATTTCTTTGAGTGCTTAGATTCCCATTGGGTGTTAATGCGTCTATCAGCGGCTTCCCSCTGGGGGCGACCCCCGGGGACCCAGGGGGATTTGTCAAAATGCTCCGTAAAACCTAATGAAATTCCTGTGGGTGAGGGGCAGAATAGGAATAACAAATGTCCCATGGGATGGGAGGGGAGGGAGATTATTGGGAAACTATCAGAAATTATTGGGAAACTATCAGAATTGCAACACTGTAACTGAATGCTTTTGCTACATTTTATAAATAGAAATGAGTCGTTCTTTTTTCTTAAATGAAGCTGGAAATGTCATCAAGCAAATCTCAGAAAAATTCCTCATGTACATCGTGATAC